TTCAAGATAATAGAACTAATTTGACTGGGGGCAAGGGGTCAAAAAAGGAAATACACAATCTTCCCTTTCTGCTGTGTGTTTTTGAAGGAAGTAAAACCTGAAAGGGCCTTGGGATAAAGAGGCTAGGATGCTCACCAGTGAGGCCCAGGAAATAAATGGAGACAAGATTTACTGAAAACAGTCCTGGCGGAAAAGTTGAAGCAAGAAGTGGTATGCCGTGACCTCTTTTAGGAGCACACTGGCTGCTGGGTAGGGAATGAACAATAGGCGGCAAGAAGAAGAGCACTGTGAACAGTCTCAAATCCCACAACCTGCTGGTGGGTCACCCTGTAGTTGTCAGTGTTTGCATAGGGTATCCATCTGTGAATTACCATTATAAAATGACTTGCCCAGTTATTAGTCCTTAAGACAAATTTCGTTAAGTGGAGTTACTGGGATAAAGGACATATACATTTAAAAGTCTGGTCCTTATTGCTTAGCCACTTTGCAGAAAGGTGGTTAGTTAACAATTCTCACTCTCATTAACATTGCATATCTTAAGACTCCATCACATTTGCTAAAAGGGAAAATGAAAAGACATGGTTTTGATAACGGTTTGAATGAAGGAATCATGGGCATTCTAGTTGACAAAACTTGGTTCATAGGAACTGGGGATGTAATATCGCTTTCAAACATACGCAGCAACTGGGTCTGGTAGTATATGCTTGTAATCCCAGTGGCATGGGAATCTGAGGCAGGATGGTCACAAATTCAAGGCCAGCCACAGTAATTTTAGTGAGAACTTCAGCAACTTAGGGAGACCCTGTCTCAAAATTTGAAAAGAACCAGTGATACAGCTCAGTGGTAAAGTGCCCCTGGGTTCAATTTCCAGTGCCAAACAACAACAACACACTCATCAGAACCATCCCAAGCTATGTTATGTCATCTCTGGAGGTCATTGTCTCTGTGCTCTGAGCTCTCAGACCATGTCTATGCAGGATCCAGCGTGATCCAGATGTGGATGAAGGATGTCTACAGACTGGAGGGTATCCTGAGGTTAGTGAGCAGTATATTCCAACAGATTTGCAGGTGGCACTTAGGGGCCTGGAATTGTTTAATTTTGAGAAGAGAACTTGGGAGAAATGCAGTGGTCCTCATGTGCTGTCGGAAGAGTATAGGTTGTGTTGCCCCTGACAACTGATAGATACTTAAAGGATGGAATTCCTGTCTGACTCCATATGCGGAAGACTGTCTTTTACCATGAGAACAACTGGTGAAAATGGAGACGTCCTTGTTGTTGGAAGCATTCAAACACAACTAGGTGGTGCTCTCTCTCGTATGCTGTGCAGAGGGACTTTCTGTGCCGAATGCATGACTGGGTCCTATCTTAGCTCCTTTCCAGCTCAGGGCTTGTCTTCATTGAGTCTCAGATAATGAGAATCGGGCAGATTAACCCCGGAAATAAGACCTACGAGGAAAACAGACCCCAGCCACCGCCTCTTTTTTTCTTTTTGCTATTGTTGTTGTTGCAGATGGACACAATATCTTTGTTGTATTTATTTATTTTTTAATGTGGTGCTGAGGATTGAACCCAGTGCCTCACACATGCAAGACAAGTTCCCAACCACTGAGCTACAGCCCCAGCCCAGACCCAGCTTTCTAATCACAATAGTGTTTGCTCTTTCCTTCCACCCCTTTTCTCTGTCTGGTTACCCTAAGGGGGAGGCTAATTACTGGCTCATCATGATGACTCTCGCCCTGCTTCCTGAAAACCTTAGGGAGGAAATGAACAGCTCAAGTTGCTGTCCATGTTGTTGGAGGCTAAGGAATCGGAGCAGGGTTGGGATGGAGGGAATCTGTAACTGCAAATCACATCCAGTCAATTGGACCTCTGTGGACCTCTGAGGCCATTGACTAAATTTAAGTCTTGAATCAGCTTGCTTCTTCTATTGGTCATCATGTCTCTGGAGGAACGAACCAGGGACTCACCCACCGTGTTGTGGCCAGCAACCAGACATTTCATCCTAGACTGGAGCTGTGCTTGTGTTTTGAACCTGAGGCTCCAGCAGGACTCAGAGAGCTAGAGTAGATGGTTGTGTTCTTCAGTTTCATGGGGCCAGTAGGACTGCCTGTCCTTCCTTCTTTCTTTCACCACAGCCATCATGCTGTTCAGGGGCCACCCCAGGATTTTAGACTAGGACCAGGTTTTCTGCAGTCCTATGGGCTCTTCACCTGTTCTGTCTCCTGATAGAATTTTGTCATTTAATGCCAACTATTTCACCTTGGGCCACCGTCACCCACAGAGGAAGTGCCTGGGTTATGGCCCTGAGATTCCAGCCAGTGATCCAGAACCAAGTTAACTGACTGATGTGGCCTTTGGAGGCCATCTGAAGTAGGAGAAAGGTCCCAATTGTTGAAAACTTCATTCTAACCGAAAATTACAGATCCCTCTTTATATCACCACTGTATCTGCAAAATGGAAATAACAGTGTGTGTGAAAGTTCTGCTAAACCCTCACTGAGTGCTGGGTTTAGCCCTTCTTCTCCCTGTGAAACTAGCTTCTCTCATAAATCCCAAGGACAAAATAATAAAGCATCCTTTTATATTTCTGTGTGTATATGTATCATGTGATTGAGAATATGGAGCCTGAAGTGTGCCAATGAACTGTGTATAGTCGTCATTCTCTAATTTCTGATATTCTCACTCTATTGGTAAAAAGGGTATTGTTTTTGTTAATTAAATTGATTTTGAATAAGTTATTGAAATGGCAAATTTGAATAATAATTTATATCTTCAGTATTATCATACTTCCTCAATTCTTAGATGCTTTTTTCTTAAATATATAAAATTGGGATGAACCATATAATAAATGCTGAAAGAAGCCACTTTGGTTTTTTTTTCCTTCAAACTTTGATGTTAAAGGATGTTCTTGTCAAATCACAATCACTTTTGTACTTAACAGAGCTATTTGTGTCTGTTAACTTCTTCAAGTCTTTAAGTGACTGAGAACTAAATAAAAAAGCATCCTTCCCTAATAATTTGGGTAAGGAATTTTGTGGCTATAAGCGTGATTGGAATTCTCATCCATTTTCTCCCACTAGATTTTTCTACTCCACCACATGGATTCCCCCTAAGAAAACAGGTTTGGCTTCTTTTCCTGAGTCCCCTGTCCTCAAGGTCAGGATCCATCTTTAGCAGTTCCAGCTGGTGGATAGCTGTAGGACTGGTGCTGTTTTGTCAGGGCAGAGTCTAGGCAGGGGGTTAATTCTAGAGTGTGTCTAAGGAGTAGAGTGAGAGAAGTCTAAAGCAAACTGTAGCATCTATATCCACAAACTTTAGAAAAGGAGATTCCTGCTGCTGTAGGGCAGAACCTGTGTGTGGGAAATTTGGCATCCTGGCCATCTTGATCATTGGCACCAGCAGCCGTGATTCACAAGCTGCTTGGCCTTTTCACCCCACAGACTCACTCCTCTAAAGAAGGCACAGCAAAAAGGTGAGCTGAGATGGTTTTCAGATGTGTGACAGGGGAATGCATGAGAGCTTTGCTATCTTTTCACATTCTTAAGAACTTTTATAGGGACTGGAGGTATAGCTCAGTAGTAGAGCATTTGCCTAGTGTGCATGAGGCCCTGGATCCAATCCCCAGCACAGGGGAGGGAGTGGAAGGAAATTCTCAAGTAAAATCATCTTATAAAATAGCTTTTTTTTTTTCTTTTTTTTTAGAGAGAGGGAGAGAGAGAGAATTTTAATATTTATTTTTTAGTTATCGGCGGACACAACATCTTTGTTTTGTATGTGGTGCTGAGGATCGAACCCGGGCCGCACGCATGCCAGGCGAGCACGCTACCGCTTGAGCCACATCCCAGCCCCTAAAATAGCTATTTGTAAAAAGCTGCAGCTACATTCCTACATCTGGCACAGTTTAACCCCATTCAGATGATGAGTATGATTGTCATTAGCAAACTGAAACCCTTTTTATTTTGCAAAAAAAAAAAAAGGGAATTGAGACTATTTGTTTGTAATGCCATTCTTTTCCTCTGTATCTTGGGACCCTCTTCTTAGGATGTTTGTTTTAGAACCTGATAAAATAAGGTTATTTATTAAGGGCTGGGTCAATAATAAGGGCTGGAGATATAGCTCAGTTGATAGAGTGCTTGCCTTGCCTTGCACAAGGCCCTGGGTTCAATCCCTAGCACCACAATAAATAAGTAAATAAGGTCATTTAAATCAGATCCTTATCCATAAGACCCCTTTTAATGGAACAAACACATATAATATATATAAAACCTCACTTTCATATTATATGTGTATCTAGATACAAGAGTTGCAACATGTAATTTACTGCACTGTCCACCTATTCTCATCATCTATAAATCCACATAATACCTTGAACAACATGGAAAAGATTTCAGGTCTTAAGCACTCTGGACATGTGCTTTGTCAGCACAGTTCAAATTTGTACCCCAAAATGCTTCCAAAGGCAGAAGAAAGACAATACAACTAGGATGGCTTCTGTGGGCCAATATGGAGTTATGGCTTAGTTTGTGAACTAGTGGAAGTTTAGGAACCTGGGAATTTTTTATTCTGCAGAATTATGTGTCCTAAAATAGTATTTTTTGCCTGAGTACATAAAACCAGTCACCAGCTAGTTGTTTCTATCTCACTAATGCCTGTCAAGTTCATGAATATCGTCCACCAAGCAGTGAGACACAGCACTGCTTCTGGATAGCACTCTCAGGAGCTTGAAGGGTCAAGGAGATTATAAAGCTTTGGAAAGATAGAAGCCACTGTACAAATTGTATTCTACATGCTTAACTAATGAAAATTCGGGGAGTAGGGCTATAACTCAGTAGCAGAGCACCTGCCTCCCACAAGTAAAGTCCTGGGTTCCATCCTCAGCACCACACAAAAAAAGATAAAATCCAAGACCAAGGCCCAGATACAAAATCTAAAATTTAGAATAAGTGAACTAGATATTTGTTGTCGTCACGTCACACCATCGTTGTGTATCTCCCTTTCAGACATATGAAGATTCATGAGAAGGACCCCAACAGTGCTACAGCTGCAGCCCCTCCATCCCCTCTGAAGCGCAGGCGGCTGTCCTCTAAGAGGAAGCTGAGTCATGATGCCGAATCGGAGAGAGAAGACCCAGCACCAGCTAAAAAGGTCCTCTGGGCCCCTGGCACAGACGAGTCTCCTCATGGGGGGGCTTTTGCAGATCTACCTCTCGTGTTTATTTTCATAGTCTAGGGACTTGGCAGACATCCATCCTAGGCTTTTCGACCTATGTTTTCCCACAGTATTTTCTAAAGTGTCTAAGAAAAGAGTACCTGTGTGTGTTTCCTCTTTGGACCCCCTCAACTAGCCTAGGGATGAAACAAAGAGCTCCCAGAATTATTTTCACACTTTTTATGTTGTTTTTATAGCTAAAATGAAGTTTTATCAGTGTTAGGGACTCTTGTCCTCACTCATTCCTAGTGCTTGGCAGATACTAGGTGCTCCATGAGTATTTGTTGAGTAGATAAGACGACTGGGGAATGAGTGAGGGCACAGGCGGGTAAGTGGTGGGTGTGTCTTGTGTGAATGTAGGAATCAGTGGAGTCACATCCTTAATAATGTAGTGAGGTCCACATCCCTTTTAGAAGTCCCTGGGTTGGTGATGGCCTCTTTTCTGAAGCAGTCCCCATGAGAGAACACCTTTATGACTTCACTTTCTGCTTTTCCCTAAGATGGTAGAAGACGGGCAGTCAGGTGACTTGGAGAAGAAGGCTGATGAAGTCTTTCACTGCCCAATATGCTTCAAGGAATTTGTTTGCAAGTATGGACTGGAGACGCACATGGAGACCCATTCAGATAACCCACTAAGGTAGGAGGAAAGGTGAACTAGACCTGTGGTCTGGGAGGCTGTTTTTCATTCCTACTCCTAGCATATTACATTCTTATTTCTCATTACTTTAAACTGAGCTCAGTGATTGAACCTTGAGTAGGATGACATTAATAAGGTAGTTAAGAAACACTCAAGGTGTAGGGAAGAGGTTGGGCTGAGGATCTTCAGGGAGAAGGTGGCTATAGTCACAGGGTGTGTTCATTCTGCCTCTTTTGCTCCTAGCAAGGCCCCTTGAGTAATCACCATTGAGCCCCCCAGCCACTGGGGAGTCTCCTGTCACAAGAGCTTTTGGACAACAGACATATTTTCTTCAAAAAAAGGTGTTGCAACCCACAAGATTATTAGTCATATATGGATATGTGGTCAGGGCAGGGATAACCCACGTGATACATGCCCCTGGCACAATGCTGGCACATACTAGATGTTCAGAAAAGTTCAACCCATAGCAAAAAAAACCCTGAGAAAGCATTGTAGGGTAAGAAAGACTTCTACTGAGTGCAAAGAAGTAAAGCCTTCTCGTTCCAATGAAACAGCGGCAGGCAATTGTTCTCATTCAGCTTTAGTTTTAGATCTTGCTTAGCTGCAGGGTTTCTGATTCTCAACTTTGTGAGGCAGAAAACATGGATATTGATATAATTTTCCATCGGAATTTAGGGGGAACTTGTCTGTCTTTTGCTACCATCTCTGACTCTTCATCAGGCAAAAAGTCCCATGTTTTTTGTAAGCAGATAGGTGTAGAGATTTTTCCTTAAACTATTACTATCATTGATCTTAAGCATTGAAAAGAACAAAGAGCTGTGTGGGAGCCTCTTCTGTAGTTGGGAGGCTTGAAGGTAGCCCATCCCGGAAGTCACACACAGCTGAGGGTGTTCTTCCAAGAGCAGAGGGCAGACCCCTACGTGGTTACAACGTGAGGAAGACACCTTGAGAGTACAGGAATTTGGGCATCTGTTTGCCTAATACATGGACCAGATTTCCTTCCCACAAACATGTGTTAAGTTGTGACCTAGGATTGAAAAGGTCCGAGCCAGCCGAAGACCTCTGTGCGGGGGTAACTAAAAGCCATGTTGAATATCGTTATCCTTAATTGCATTAGTTTGACATATATTCCAGTGGACGAGGAGGAAAGAATTTATGGAGAGCAATTGAAATACTATAAAATATCTTTATGAAACTCCCCAGTCTTAGAAAATTGGCCAATGTGTTGGAGCAGCCATGGGCTGGTTGTCAGGCCTGTCTCTGCTCATGTGTAAGTTCAGTTTCCTCATCCTTCAGATTGAAGGAAGGCTGGGAAACCAGGTCATCCCTTTATTCCCTTCAGGTCTGTAATTCTAAAAACTCTCTTAACCGTTGAGAACACATCTGGTTCTTCCTTTTGTAAAACCCCTCATTCTGAGATTGAGGAACTTGACTTTATGGTTTCATTAATGTCCACAGCATCCCTAGGATGTGGGCTTGTGGTAGGTGGAGAATATTAAAATCCTTCTCTGGATGAAGGATATGAAGTTGGCAGGCAAGCCTCATAAGGAGAGTTGTGGGCAGAGCAGGAATAGCACTTGAGACGCCAACTCCCGTTCAGCATTTTTGTTACGCAGCGCCATGAAGTCACAGCTCATCTCTGTGCTCCTTTATATGTTTTATTTCACTTCCTATTTTATTTTGTGATTAGAGAGCATCATAGGAACTGTCCATTTGCCCCTTCTCGATAATTCTATCTTATAGGAAAAAATAATCTGGCTCTGAAGAGATTTCTGGACAGCCCAGGGTTTGGACAAAGGGCATAGCAGTGAGAGAGAAAGATGAGCTATCCTCTGCTGAAGTGCTGTTGTGGATGAGGGTGTGGATCTTGTGGAGTGGCCTGCAGACCAGGACCTTCTCAAGGGAGAGGCGGGCATCCTCAGAGTGGGTGGAAGTGGGAATTGCACTGGACACTGGTCATGTAGTCCATGTGCAGTCACAATTTGATGGATGATCACCCACTATGGCTCCAAGGCGGGTGGCATAGACAGGCTATGAGGTTGAACCTCCAGCCCTGCGGATCCAGTTAACCTCACCTGTTCAGTGATAATGCCCTTTGTTTGATGAGTGGTTAGCTAAAGAAGTGTCTTTGCCTGGTAGAGTCTTGGCAGGCCTTTATCCCTGGCCCCACAATGACTGGCCTTAGGGTTGCTGTTAAGAAGAGGTGACCTGACATCCTTTGTGCAGGGTGAGCAGGCTAGCTCCTGCCTGATGGCACTCTCTAGTAACTGTTGCTAGATGGGGTGGGGCTGGCATCTGGAAACCAAAAAGGAGTTGATTACAGAACATTGTTAATTTCCCTTTCTCCTCTCTGCTCTGCTGTTCCACATAATAGCCTGCTATCAGAGGAGGCCTTGGGGGCAGGCATGGGCCAGTGAGGACTAGCCAGGCTGTGAACTGTGACAGTAGCTGGTGGGAAAGACTGCTTTTTAACCCAGAACTAAAATAGACACCAACTTCATTTTCAAACCCCAAAGGCAACAGCCACAGTGGGATGCTACCAGTTTAGACAGAAAGTCTGTAACTCAAAACAGCTGTTGGTTTCTGTCTCTCCTGCCCCTACCCGCTTCCCCTCCCACTAATCTGGCAAGGTGCCCGTTGTTCCTTAATAAAGTGTTGGAAATCCAAACTCATGTAAACACTGAGTTCATTTTCCTCCCTTCTGCAGTGTTTCGTATTAACGAAGTGTTAGCATTGAACAAAAGGAAGATAGAAAGCCCATGGTAGATTCCAGCTCTCGGGGTCAGGTATTGCTGGTGACCCTTTCTATACAGCTTCCCAGATGAGGCAGGGAAGGCAGGGGAGGAGGTGGTGTAGAGCTTCCTGGGTGCATTTGGAATCCGAGGTGAGGGAGTGTGTGTTCAAAGAGTAGATGGATACAAAGGGGCCGTCGCCGGTGTGGGGATATTGCTGGACATTGAATACCTGGCTTGGTGGTTAGAATAGAGCAGAGCAGCAGGCCATCCGATGCTGGGAATGAAGTCAGCTGGAGGAAACATCCAGCACCATGCAGCAGAAGTGGAATGTGAGCCCCATGTGTCCTTTGAAATTTTCTAGTAAAGCGAGGGCTGGGAGTATAGCTCAGTGGTAGAGCATGTGCTTAGCATGTGTGAGGTCCTGGGTTCAGCCCCCAGCACCAAGGGGGGGAAACAAAAAAGCAACAGGTGAAATTAATAATGCTTTAGTTGACTATACCCATATAGTCAAAACAGAATGTCAACATAAAGTCATTGTAAGAATTCTCATTAAGACGTTTTGCTGTCTTCCTGTCATATGCCAAGTCTTTGAAATCGGTGCATGTGGTGCTGTCACAGCCCCTCTCAGGACAAACCAGCCACATGTCAAGTGCTCAGCAGCCTGCAGAGCAGGTAAGATAAGTAGGGAGGGCAGCAAGCCCCAGCCTCATGTGTGAAAGACTCTTGTCCTGGGGTGGGCCAGGAGGGGCAATAGCTGGATGAGCTGGATAGTTCCCATGTTGAGGAAGCTGCTGCCAAAGGTGAAGCTTGGCCCAGGTTATTGTATAATCTCATGTGGCTTCTTGATTAAAAGAGATCAGGTAATAAGTAATTTTAACATTATTTCAGTTAAAATGTACCCAACAAATGACTGAATCCTCAAGCTAGTGCCAGGCATCTACCAGACTTGAGGAAAATGGTACTGTTCAAGACAGAGGCCATGGGCTAGTCAGAAACAAGGAGATGAATTCAGGACCAAGAAGGCACGTTTGCCTCTCAGCCAAGCAGAGGGATAGGTTGGTATAAAGTTTCAAGTTTCTCCTTTGAGTGTATCAGGTGTTATGATATTCACTACTTTCTCTCCAGGTCAAGGCCCTCCTCAGTCTGGTCAACGTTACTTTTTATTTATTTATTTATTTTGGTGGCACTAGGGATTGAACCCAGGGGCGCTCTACCACTGAGTTACACCTCCCAGCCCTTTTTTTTTATATAAGTATGTCCTTTTTTTTTTTTTTAAGTTATAGATGGACACAATATCTTTATTTTTATGTGGTGCTGAGGATCGAACCCAGTGCTTCACACATGCAAGGCAGGCATTCTACCACTCAGCCGCAGCCCCAACACCCCTCCAACCCCAGCCCTTTTTATGTTTTATTTTGAGACAGGATCTCACTAAGTTACCTGAGCTGACCTTGAGCTTATGATCCTCCAGCCTCAACCTCCCAAGTTCCTGGGATCACATTCTGTGCCATCCTGCCTGGCTGGTCCACTTTATTAATCTTGGTTGCCTCTGAGGTGATGTTAAGGTTGGGAATCCATTGGAAGCCCAAGGGGGTTCTGGCAGGTACCCACAGCCCTGTGGGGGTGAGGTGGGGAGGTGAGAAATGCTATAGCCAGGAGGGCCACTCCTTGCCATGTGTCTTGGCGGTGGGGCCACTGGGAAGGATATGGCAGAAACTTCTGCATTCTCGACTGTGGGGAGAAATGATCATGTCCTCCCTGCATGTCCCCCACCTGCTGAGAAACCCATTCTTCATGTAGCATTGGTCCCACACATGTCAAATGTCATCTTAAACATAGGCTAAAGGTAAAACCAAATCTGTCAGCATCTTAAGTTTAAGAGTCCAGGGGTCCAAGGCTCACCCAGTGGACACACATTTAAAACTATGCTGGGCATCTGGGATGGAAGGAGAGCCTATGACGGGAAAATAGCTAGTCCGGCAGTTGGTGGCTCCTGGGTCAGGTGGCCCCGCTGTCCGCTGCACCTAAGGGGCAGGATGAACAGCAGGCTCACCAGGCTTCCGTGCTTACTCCACACTGCCCATGGTAAAAGCCCTCAAGCTCTGCCCCATGCTTCACGCCAAGCTGGCTTGGTCCCAGAGGACAGCCTGGGCGGGTTCCTGGGACATGGGGAGGGGAGGTTGCCCCGCCAGGCCCATCGCTGCTGCTCACAGCAACTGGGAGAGATTAGTGCAGCTGTGGATGTCAGTTCTCTTGCCCTGGGAT